ACATTTGTTGCGCTATTTGCCAAATACTTCTCGGGAAATTTCTGTAAGTTTGTGTTTCTGTTGCTTGTTATTTTGTTTTTGCCTGTTATGTTTTTTATTCGGTTTATTTCTCTCCGAGTTTACTTTGTCATTGTTATTTATTTTAGTCAAACTTGTTCAGCAACCAGAATAAATAAATATAATTATTTTAATTTCGCGTTTTTGAGCGAGACATGATTTATCTCCTAGGAGAACCCCTTCGCTCTGGTGAAAAGCATTCAGGGAAAGTGGTGACTATTTTAGATTGGTAGGACTAGCTTGTGCTACGCACAAGTTCATCGTGCGCAGAATGTACGAGTTCATCTAGAGGGAGGGGTCGATTCTTCCCCAAAAATCTTGAATTTAATAAAATTCACGCTCTCTTTCTCCGTATGATATCGAAGAGAGAAATCCCATAAATGCTGAACTGTAGGTGGGTTATAACCCATGTATTACATACTATCCAAGTGGATTCTGAAGTAATGTGATTAAATCAAAAATTGTGACATACTGGGCTCCTTTCGGTAAGGAGTTTTCCATAATAAGCGTTGTTATCCTGTTCTCTTCTCTTTCCAGGATGGATGTACCTTTACGAAAACCGTACTGCGTTCTGTTACTCTGCATGGTGCTGATATTCGTACCATGCGAAACTAATGGTAATCCACTATCCCCCAACCTGTTAGATGCCATATCAAAAATTATAGAAAGGTATGAGAAAGGAGAGCTAACGGCAACAACCTCCATTCATTATTTTGTGGACCAAAATAACGTGGAAACCTTGTTTCTTCCTGGGATTATCATCTGGGATCCATTACTACAGTACTTTCATGGAAGCTTACCTTGTCCTCACTGTGGCCAAATACTGAAACCTAGATGTTGGAAAGATGGGAAAGATTGGAAACACAACAGTCCCAGGCGGCTTGCAGATATAGAACATTATGTTCTGCTCGTAAGCAGGGTGTACGCATGCAAAAATGACCACAGGATAATCAGTCATGACCCTCAAATTCTGAAGATGTTTGAACAGGTTGAACTGATCCCATTCCTTCTTTTGCACAAGTATGGTATTACTCGACGTTTATACAGATTAATTATCGTTCATACTGCGTCTGGAATGAGGTACAGGGATGTGGAAACACTTTTAACTGAGATGTGGCGTAGTTATCACACCGAGGTACGCATTCGGACATCAAAAATATTAAGTATGAGAACGTCAGAGGGTGAAGCAGCAAACGACGCGAGTCACAATGCATATACAATGCCGCAGGTTTCACAGTTAAACCCTAACAGGAAGCTTATTCGCCAATGCTTTGTTTACGATTATTTTACAAAAGAAAAACTTTATAATGCACGCATGGCATCGTTTACTGGCAGTTGGCTCTCCTCTGACCACACATTTAAGGTCGCTAGTAATGTCGGTATATGGCAAAATGGCCATTGGATTCGTCAGTTTGACTCTTTGTTTTCTGTCGTGAACGAGGATGGCATTGTCCTCGCTTGGCAATTAACAAGAGGCACTGGTTTTGCAAGAGTAAAGACTTTACTCGTTGGAATTATGAACAGGCTTGTAAAAAGCGGAATTACCTTAGAGGGATTTTCCATTGACAACTGTTGCGCCTGGAGGTTACTCCTTCAAGGGGTGTTTGGAGTTATTCCGGTTAAACTTGATCTCTTTCATGCTGTACAACGCATCGCAAGTAAAATTAAAAAAAGGCACCCGTTAAGAAGACAGTGCCTCGATTCATTTCGTTTAGTTTTCCGAATGCCGGGCGATATTGGGAAAGAACGGAAGAAGTCGACGCCCTCTCGCTCAGTAATGTTGACAAATTTAGACAGATTTGTGGAAAACTGGGAGAATCTTGAAGTTGCAGGAGAGAAGGTACTTTCAAAAAATGCCCGTAACCAATTGGACAAGTTAAGAGCACATATTGAGAAAGGTTGCTTGGAAGGGATCCCTCCAAAAGCAGGAACAAGTAGACAGGAATCGATGCATAAAAGCCTCCGGAAAGGCGTAGAAAAAAGGAGAATTGGTGTTAAAACAGCAGTGGCAAGCATAGGTACGTGCCTATACAGGTGGAACGAAAGGCGAATATCAGAAAAGGTAGGATCGTGTCATTCGGCAGTTCCTGTCCCAGTCACCGAGTACCATGACTTGTCGATGGATCAAGAAGAAGTATTTGGTACCGGAGTGTTTCAAAATCCAAACAGTTTTAGCGACGATGACTTGGAAGATGGCGCGGAAGTCAATGCTAGAGAAAATGATTCAACAGGGGATAGCAGTAGCGAGGAAGAGGAATATGGGACTGATAACGACAACAATGTGAAGATCACGACAGAAGACACGTATCATAGAGTTCTGGAGTATGCTATGTATATGAAGAGCCTATCGCAAGATTTGCAAGCGAAATGTGATGCACCTACAATGAAAGTAAATGTGACTCAGTGTGTTGGACGGAGCCTTCTATTATTTTCATCACGTACACGTTACTCCAGGCCAGACGCGGAAGAATGCGACGAGAGGTTAAACAGCATTTTAAATGCATTTCAATTCCAACAGTTGCCGATGCCCGGAGATGGAGACTGTTTTCTACGTTGCATTTCCATCACTTTAAGCTCTTTTCTAACAATAAATCAAGGGAACTCAAAACTGATCACGTACTTGAAATCGATCGGTATCAGCACGGAAAGGTCTAACGAGGATAAAATAAACGTTCTCAGACAGTTGATTGTGCAAGAATTCACGGGGCCCAATCGGCACCTTTACGAAGCATTTATGATAACAAACACCACTGATTCATATGATACAGAAGCTCAGAAGTTCCTTAGGCCAGGCCATTATGATTCTGAATTAGGAAACTGTGTGCCAATGGCAATGAGTAATATCCTGCAAATACCGCTGGTTATTTTTACATCGATGGAAAATTATCCCATTACACAAATAATTCCTAGAACAAGAGTGCTTTCCGAAGTTCCGATATACCTCGCATATAATCATGGTGGCAGCGGACACTATAATTTGGCAGTTGAAGTAACTCACACGCAGTCAAATTCAACTACAACTGAAGCAACCAGCAAAGAGGCAGACAAGCATTTGCAAGTTGAGGCCGACGTTCCCCCTCAACATGAGGCAGGGTGCTCGTGTGGTCGCGGAAACCCAGGGAAGACAGGGAAAAGTGAATTCTGCAAACAATATAAGTCACGCTGTCCTTGTTTTCGTAATCTGCGAGGCTGCAATGAAAAGTGTTCCTGCCGTTTGTGCGCGAATCCGTTTGGTAGAAAAACTCAAGAAAAAGGGATCTTTGGTCCGCTACCAAGAAAGAGACAAAAACAAGATCTTCAGAAAGATATGAAGCAGACAGACAAAGGATATATGGAAAAGAAAACAGAAGAACCCATCGGTACAATTTGGTTTGAAGACGAACTGTATGTCATTGAAGCGTTGTTCTTGTACTTGTTAGTTACAAGCCAAGATATTACCCCGGACAGGGTCTTTGCAGAGTACCACAAGATAATAGAATTCTGCTCAGAAGTGACAATTTATCAAAATGTCTTTTCTCTGCGTCCAAGATCCTCGTCAGCAATAACAAAGAAACTACAAGAAATAAAAGGCAAGTTAAAGGTTGACGAGGAATTATTCAAAAAACAAATCCAATACAACTGGTTTTTTGACTAAATCGAATTTGCACAAGCAGATAACAAAATGATATCTTCCTGCAACGGCCAATCCCGTTCCAAAGGACTAATCGCCAGTGATTATTGAAGGAAGTTTGGTCGCAGTTTTCCCACGATGGCTTAAACCGTTATTTCTCATCGGCACGTGGCACTTTCAGCCACACGAAGCAGTTTTAAATGAAAAACAATGCAAACACATTTGTGGCAGAGTTAATGCGTTATTCGTTTAAGATCCATGATTCTTGAAGACGAGAAAACGTATTAATAATTTTAGAAAAACGTGTTCTGTTTAAACATATTTTTGCTTCATTTTCTGATAAATCATACTGTTTATACGAGTTATATAAAACAGTGTCGAAATTAAGTATAAATTAGTTGTTCTCGGACTTTGTCTATTCCGTCTTTTGGTTAATAGGCAGGTACCGTATTTACTCGAAAAAACGCCCCCGGCGTTTATTTTAAACTTGGCATCGTTGACCCGGCGTTTATTTGAAATCCGAAGCTTGCTTGAGCACTTTATCCATGAAGCAATGGATTTTCTTCATTAAATTTTACAGAAATAAATCTTTCCGTTATATCTTCAGTACATTATACGTCTAATAAATACTTAAGGGGATTATTTAACATTCCATCTTGGAGACCCGGCGTTTATTCGAAGCCCGGCGTTTAATCGAGTAAATACGGTATTACATGTAATCTGTTCTGTTAGTTATTCCCAATCGGGGATATGAAATTTTATTTTCTTTAAGGAGGAAAATAAAACAGATGCAGCTCATATAACGGGATCACTAAATATAATGTCACCTAGAGAATATAGATTGTCCAACTAGACATGCTCTCAAAGGGGTTTAGGGCTCCAGGGATCCGGGCTTAAAATTAAGAAGGGGCTCCAGGCCTCCGAGGAGAGAATTTCAAAGTTCTAGGGCCCCATATCATTTGCTTTAGGGCTACAGGCTCCACCGTGGTCGACAATCCTCAGGGGCGTAGTCTGGTTTTTCGGTCTAGGCACGCACATGAAACAAAAGAAAAACGAGCGCCGAAGAAGCTAGGGGGTATAGGGGCATGCCCTCCAGAAAATTATTATTTTTAGGGCCTCGGAAATGCCATTTACCATGTTTTCAGGGGGAATTTTGATAAATCGAAACATGGAAAAACGTTAACAATTTATGACAACCTTTGGTACAATTGATATTAGTTACAATGTGAATACAGGCAAAGGGCGAGACTTGTAATGTCCATGGCTATACTACGCGTTTTTTAATCGCATTTTAAGGGTCGCATGTTAGGCGTTCGATTTACGTCTTTCCCGGCCCTAACACTATGACCTAATTTCATTTCTTCAATAACCTCGTGTTCCTCGCATTTTACAGTTCTGTTCTCCAAATAAAATTGTCGTCAAGCAAATTGGCTTCTTTTTTACATCCTTTTTTATTTCATAACAATTTTTCCTAAGAACGAATAAATCATGTCCTCTTCTAGTAAAGCGAGAAGAGGACATGATTTTCTGTTTAAAGTTTAATGATTGAAGTCATTTGATTAAATTTTCAAAAAGGAAGTTACCTTCTGATGGTCCTCATTTGCTGACCTTTTAACAGTCTGTACTATTCACCAAGCTTAGGTAAAGTAGCCCTTCACGATTTTGTTACATGTCTGGCCGCACAGGCTACCTCTAAAGACGTGGCTTTGAGCACTCAAATATTAAATGAACTGAAAGGACGTTGAACACTTCATCAACCCAAAAGTTCAAACTGACCCGAAATGATTACGTTTCACACTGACTTCAAATACTTTCGCGGACCTCTTCAAAGGGCCAAAAGGTGGATTTCGATCATTTTATTTTTGCCTTTCATTTTCTTACTATCGTTGTGATGACTGGGTTTCAAACTCCTGTTTTAAAGTGAATAGCGCAATATTCACAAAGACTTCTTGATGAAAAATAGCAGCAATACAATGAGAGAAAAACTCTTGCATGTGTAAAAGTCGCTTTTCGCCAATAAATCTTTAAACAAGCAGATAAATAAATAAATAATTCCTTTTTTTTTCCTACGCCCTTGAATTCTGATACATACAAATTATTTTCTAATTCAAATCCACAAATAACAAAGTCTGCCCTTTTTTATTACAAACCTGAGCTTTCGGTTATCACGTCTCTTGTTGTTTAACTGTAGATTATAAGCTTCAGGAAAATGTGCTTTGCCTTCTCTCCAGATCCCTTACAAGTAGCCCAAGATGTATGGATGGCACGGGGGACAAGGGTGAAGATGCAAGGCTCGCCCAATAACATACATTCTAAGCGTTTTTACTAACATCGAAGGTGTATATGTTACCTGATTGCGAAAAGGTAGCAAAGAAACGCGCAAATTTTTTTCAAGAAGTATAAAAAACTCTGAGCTAGGCATCGCGGTGCAAAAACCAAGAACCTACTGTTCCTCTGTGCCCACTGTTCCTCTGTTCCTCTGTGCCTACTGTTCCTCTGTTCCTCTGTGCCCCTGTTCCTGTGTGCCCACTGTTCCTGTGTGCCCACTGTTCCTCTGTTCCTGTGTGCCCACTGTTCCTGTGTGCCCACTGTTCCTCTGTGCCTACTGTTCCTCTGTGCCTCTGTTCCTCTGTGCCCACTGTTCCTCTGTGCCCACTGTTCCTCTGTGCCCACTGTTCCTCTGTTCCTCTGTGCTTACTGTTCCTCTGTGCCCACTGTTCCTCTGTGCCCACTGTTCCTCTGTGCCCACTGTTCGTCTGTGCCTCTCTTCCTCTGTGCCTACTGTTCCACTGTTCCTCTGTGCCTACTGTTCCTCTGTGCCCACTGTTCCTCTGTGCCTACTGTTCCTCTGTGCCTACTGTTCCTCTGTGCCTACTGTTCCTCTGTGCCTACTGTTTCTCTGTGCCTCTGTTCCTCTGTGCCCACTGTTCCTCTGTGCCTACTGTTTCTCTATGCCTACTGTTCCTCTGTGCCCACTATTTCTCTGTGCCTACTGTTCCTCTGTGCTCACTGTTCCTCTGTTCCCACTTCCTCTGTGCCCATTCTTCCTCTGTGCCCACTCTTCCCCTGTGCCCACTGTTCCTCTGTGCCTACTGTTCCTCTGAACCTACTGTTCCTCTGTACCTACTGTTCTTCTGGGCCTCTGTTCCTATGTACCCTATGTGCCTACTGTAATCGGTGGCGAAGGTAAATAACTAATGACGTCAGTCAGGTCGTCGTACACGAGCCATGAGCCAATTTTTTGCACCTTTTTCTCTTAAATTGTTTCAAGCATTGACATCATGAATTACCCTTGCAGATGCTCGTAAGAAGGGCAATGGCTGAAAGTTATAACGTTTACCAAACACAACTTTTTCCAGGTGAACAGAATGTAGAGGAATGATTGGATATCGTCTTGAACAGGCCCGAGGCTTTAAGTCCTTCGTGGCTCACACCCAGAACCCCTCCCTTTCCAAGATAACACTATTAATTCTTTGCACTTTCCTCCTTTTCCTATGATGTTAACGTTGATAATTTTTTTCTAAATCAAACTGTATCTCCTAATTAAAGTATTTTTTCTTCCTATTAGTACTCTTCTACCTGAAATGTATTGATACTGTAAAAGGAACTTTTTTTTTGGTCACTCTAAGGAGTGAAAGGGTTAGATGGCCCCTTCTCCGGCTGGGATGTAGGATCATAGTTGCCAAAATTCAGGCATATTTGAGCCAAACAAAATTTAACCATTCCCAGGCTTGGAAAGATTTTCCCTCCTAGCTTATTAATTGATTCTCAATTTAGGAAATCCAACTATCTTTGTTAATGTAATCAATAGCACTAACAAAATGGGTGCCACAGCCAGGACCAGTCACAAGAGAGATAACCAAAGGACGTGTTCGCCTCGCCATGAAAAGAATGGGTGTTGACAAGCTTGATATGCTACAGTTCCACTGGTGGGATTACTCTGACAATAGATACCTTGATGCACTGACTTACCTCAATGAACTGCAAGTTGAAGGTCTCATTGGAGAGATTGCATTAACCAATTTTGACACCCAACACCTGATGGAAATCTTAAAAAGGGGAATCTCCATCTCAACCAATCAAGTGCAATATTCTATCATTGACCGTCGCCCTGAGGTGAAAATGGTCGAACTTTGTCAGGCACATGGGATAAAGCTTTTAGCTTATGGCACATTAGGTGGTGGATTGATATCTGATCGATATCTGAACCAAAAAGAGCCAGTTCGAAGATCTGATCTCCAAACAGCTTCTCTTGCAAAGTATAAGCACATGATCGATGCATGGGGGAGTTGGGAGCTGTTTCAAGAACTCTTATCAAATTTGTCTGATGTTGCACAGGCTCATAACTGCACCATAGCTAATGTTGCTTGTCGTTATATTTTAGACAAGCCAGAAGTTGCTGGCATCATAATTGGCTGTAGGTTTGGTGTGGCAGGAGCTGAGCATATTGAGGAAAATTTAAAACTTCTTGACTTGGAACTCACTCCAGAGGATATCCAGAAAATTGAACAAACTCTTAGTAAAGGAAATGACTTGTTTGAGACTACTGGTGACTGTGGAGATGAGTACAGATAGTATGGGTCTATGTGTGTTTTTCCTGACAAGGTAGGATACAGAATTGTCATTACTTTGTGATCAGCAAGAGAGTGATGATTGTAATGATTTTGAAGTCAAAATAGTTTTAAGCAATTATCTTTGGGACAATTTTTAAGAGATTCACTCTTTCCTATATGTCAATGTTGGTAACAAGTAAACTAGATGTCATGAATACAGTTTAATATTAAGAGGGAAGCATGGTGTTTCAACAAAATTTTAAAAAGTTACCTGTGGAGTGTGATGAAGTGGTGTCACTTTTAGTTGTAAACATGTTGTTAGTAGTCTCATTTTAAATGAAAACATGTACATGCCTCACTAAGTTCCATTAAACAATGTTTGACCCTCGTAACAGCACAAGCATTTTCATTTCAACTAAAAAAATATTACTCATTTACAGAGCAGCAGCAGCAGTAGTGGTAAAAGTAGTGGTTGTAGTAGTTGTTTATTAAGTAGTAGTAGGTTGAAACTAAAAAGGTAAAGAGTTGAATTAACTAATTAAGATAGAAAAGTACAAACACAAAATGAACAGAAATGGAGCAAAATTGGAAAAATACTGACATTGATAATGCCTAAAATATTACTGCAAAATTGAATACCTTGAAGGTTTCCAAACAGAGAACTGTGCCAAGCATGACTTAAAGGTAAACTGACTTTAAAAAAGTGATCATGCATTAAAGAAACTGGCTTTAAATACAAGAGGACCATGAAATAACCTGCAGTATGAAAAGTTATGAAAAGGTGTAACTGACAAACCTCAACAAACCTAAAGACCCTCAACAAAAATCACCAAGAAGGAGGTATGAAAAACTAAAGGACAAAATAAATAAATATGAATTACACAAAAAGTAATTAGCAATTGCCTAGATCTTACAGCCATTATTTTCATGCTACTATTTAAGATCTTACCTTTAATTTTTGTGAAGATAAAATCCTTAGTAAATCTCCACTAGATAATGAAATGAAATACAATAGTCATGCAATTATGCTTTTTAATACTGGTGGTTTAGATACCTCTTACCAATCAAGTTGAGGTCTGTACTGTAAGATACAGACCTGGACCCAGATGTCCACTTCACTTGCAATAAATACCCATTATTGGCCAGTATACATTACATGCCTCTGATTTTGTCCTGGTTTCACAAGAGCGAGGCTTGTTTTGTTTTCTATAAGCTTGTGGAGTAGTCACCATCGAGTTAATGGCCACTGATGGCCAATTCTGTGTGCAATGCATACTGGTCAAAATGGGTCTTTAAATGTCTCAATTGCGCAGGTGAGAAAACTTTCTCCATTACTTAGAGATGGAGAAAATGAGATTAGTAAGCTATACAATATTGGTTTCATAGAGAAGGAGAGGATCTCAATTCAAACAAACTTTTGAATTTAGCAGGCTGTACAGTGAAATACAGCCCACTAAATTGACCAATCAAAGTGCATGTATCAACTGAGAAATGTAATAAAGGTAAAGTAAAGGTTGCTTTTCATGGGATAAACCATAAGTTATTAAATATTAGTGAAACAAACATTTACTAATTTTAGAATTCAAATAGGGCACTTTATTTTCGGTAAACTGTTCGTCATTCATGGAAATCTTCAAGCACATGATCAAGTGCACACCACTAAAAAGCTCCAAATTTAAAATTGAGTGTTTCCAGACCTTCTACTTGTGGTTTACTTAAATAAGTTGTAAATAAATTTTCATGCAGTCTATACCTGAGGATAACCTCTGTGCAAAATTACAGACCTCCTAAATAGTGGTGCAAAATGAAGGGAATAAAAAATTATTACAAAAATAACAAAAAGTTTATTTTCATTAGAGTGACCTGTAACATGTCTCACAGGAACTGACTTTCAAGCACTTTGGCTACAAACACTCACCTCTCTACAAGACTGGGTTTTGTTGTGGCATATGACTCTACTGACAACCCTTGCTGCTATTGTTAAAACATATAATCTTTGTTTCCCCCTTGTCAGTTTAGGTAATGAGCAAAATTGGATAACCCAAAGAAAATAGATATTGAGAAGAACTGGGCCAGGGGAGTAGATTTATCCAGGAAAACCTGAGAGGCATGCAGCTTCTTTCTTTTTGCAAAATGCAACAATGAAAACCGAAACATAAATGCACAAACTCAAGCAATATTAGTTACAATTATAGAGT